GCATTACGTCACCTGCCCACTTATCCACTTATGTATTATTGTATATTTATTGATAGCTGTGTGATTCTGTGTGTGTGTGTGTGTGTGTGTGTGTGTGTGTTTGTGTGTGTGTGTGTGTGTGTGTGTGTGTGTGTGCGTGTGTGTGTGTTTATCTGTATGTGCGTGTGTGTGTGTGTATCAAGTTAGGCTGCCGCTGACATCATTGAGCCAATGCCAATATTGAGCCTCAGCAATATACGGTAAGCTGGTTAGCATTTCATGACACAGTCCAGATTTGGCTACAGTTTTAATCTGCCATATTGGGATCATATTTATGGGGGCTTTATGTGTACTCATTGTGCAATATGCACAATTTTTTAAAGAAGCAGAAGCCATCAATGTGAGATTCCGCTTTGAGGTAATATTTACTTTCTCAGAGGCAATATTTAGTTTACTCAAAATGAAAGGAGTGACAGATCCACTGCCCCCCCCCCTCTCTTGTTTTTAGTGTGTGTGTGCGTGTGCGCAGTGAGGATCGGAAGTTTTGATGGAACAGGCTGAGAACAGAGCCACATGATAACAGTAACATCTGGCTCGGGCTCCAGAGATGATTACTCTGCAGCTCTATGAGGACTCATCCTGCAGGCGTTGCTCTCACCCTGGTTTACACGGACACACGGACGTACACAAACACGCACAGAATGGTGGAGCCAGATGGCACCGTTCCTTTGACTATCACCTAAACCCCGGCGGAATAGCTGCAACGAGAGGTTTTGGTATGCAAACACAAAGGTGAGAAAACCGAAAGGCTGCTAATTGGTGCCCATGACAGAAATCACATGATGACAGGAACCACGTCCAAACTATATGGACAGCTTAGCATTTAACGCCACAAGACGATACAAACACATTTTCATTATGATACTTGACTTTTATGATGAAGCGATGTTGTGTATAGTACAGCGGGTCGAGGCAGATGTGGTTTCGAGTTTACCAATGGCACGCAACGGTGTAAGAATACGTCGTCACGCAGCGCAAGGAGGCGAGCTGAGTTACGTTCATACCTTCTAATTCATTTGTTTTATATTTTTGGGCCTAGAAGTGTGTTTCATTCAAATATTTACTGTAATTATGACTTAACTGGAGTGTTAGCGTAGGTTAGTGATAGACGATAGGGCGAATTCCAAGTTGAGTGCAACTTTGGGTTGCATCGTAGTCATACAATAACAAGAAAGTAATATAAGTTGGAAACGAATGGTTGGCTTTGGTGTTATAATAAGCTAAAATTATATCAATTCGGGTTCCATTCCATTTAGGATGGATATAGGCATGGGTATATTTTGACAAACACTTCACTATAAGAAGTAATTTGACAGGTCATGGATAATTCTACAAAAAATGGTTTACTGTCAAACAAAACATAAAACAAAAAGAATTACGCAATGCAACCACGCAAATTTGCCTTCTATTAGTATAAAACTAACACGCAATGCCATAGATGGGCAAACCAATAGCATCGATAGTCATAACAGTACAGGCACAAAATAACAGTCACAAGCATATATTATTTATCTTCTGAGAAAAATTACTAATATTACAGCAACTTCCTGACTCACTTAAAATAGAGTGAGTAAGCTTAAAACTTTCTTGGTTTGTGTCTGCATGACTGTATTATACTGCCCTCGGTGGTCCGGTCATACACACCAGCAGAAGCTGCACTGTGACTAAGTAATTCCGTTACTTAGGGTCTGCATTTATATAAAGTAGAATGTTATCGAGTGCTATTTTACTCATTAGAACAAAACACATTGCCTAAGCAATAAATACATCGCCTAAGCAATTAATGTCAGTTTGATTCAATTCCATGTGAAAATATGATTTGAGTGTTTGAGTTGGTCATGGGATGAATTGAACTCGTACAACTCGGAAACGTGCATGTGCAACAGAGTGCAAATTGATTTTCCCCTGAGGGATTTTTTTTTTTTTTTTTTGTAAAATGTGAACGTATGAAGCCTATGTATGAATATGTTTAAAACGCACGTGACTCCTAAAATGAAAGTGTAAAATTTAATTTCACATATCATGTAATAATGTCATAACTTTTCAACTGGAGCCAGAACCCAGACGTGGGAAGTTACGTTGCATTCAAATGCCATAGGAATAAAATACAAGTCCCTTTGAAACTCCATAAGAAGTTGCTGAGAGCCGACTCATACCTGTACCAGTCCAGTCCGCGTGCGTAATGCCGGTCAAAGAAGTGCGGTTCGGAACCAAGAGCCCGGATGTCAGGATGGAGCCGCAGAAACTCCAGCAGAGCTCTCGTTCCTCCCTTCTTATTCATGTTAAGAGAGACCGCTTAGAATTGTAGACACGTGAAGTCGGTAAACAAGCGGAGGTCATGAATGTCAGTGGGACCTGCGGTTTTAAAACAGATAACCTAATTGGCTTAATGGTTCAGACAGCATGGAGTACAGCTGCCGTGCAGTCAGTTGATCCTGACCCACAGGATAGTCTGCGTTGGAATTTGGATCAGTCTTTTTCTTATGTGATGAAGAAGAAACTTGAATGATATTTGTGATCAAAAATTGGATGATTTGAATCTTTCTTGGTCCAAAACTAACAAAGTATCGGGTTTATTGCATCTACCAGCAGAAGTGTGTTGTTGTTGTTACCGTCGTTAGGGACCACTGTCGGCTTGTATTATTGCAGAGTGGGGCTAAGGTACAGATAATAGCTCATAGGAGACTCATTAATTCCCCCTTGCAACCCACACGGCTCAAGCACATACAACACACACACACACACACACACACACACACACACACACACACACACACACACACACACACACACACTCACACACACACGCGTGAC